AGAATTAGTAAGCACTTTGTGAACTTAGTTGTTAATACTGGTTCATAATTCGCATGTGGGGGCTGTGATGCTGCCTGAAAACTAGGATCTACGCTGGTGATTGTCTCAGGCAACCATTGCCTGAGCCTTTGACTTGATTAACTTTGTAGCGGAACAAATGAAGTGATGTATTCCTAAAGCTGCTGATGAAAACGGAAGGCTCACCCGCAACTCCGTTCTACAACGTGGAGCTCATGCGCACCACTGATTTGAAATCAGGGTATTCCAATTTCTTCAGCCTTACCATTCGCGTACACTAATTCAATGATAGCGTCGGACATTTACTGCAACACACACTTCTTGGTGACACGACAAGCAATGTGTATGACTTCTCTGGTTAAGGGTATAAGCTTTGCCTTGAGGAATCACGGTGACGGTTTTACGAATTTTATAACTGGGTTTACCAATGTAAGCTAAGCATCAAACCTTTGAAATACCATGTGTAACCAGCCTCACCCGGATGCCCCTTGGGCTCTGTCACTATTTTCTTTCCCAAACACCTCAAAAGAAGTAAGCACCTAATTTCTACCGGTTGATATTTTTAAGTTTACGGGACAGCAACCCTCATCTCAAACCGTGCTCCAAACTACATACGGCAGCTCTCAATATCCGCTCTCCCCAAAATCAGACAAAAAGCCTCACTAACCAAAACTCTAGCATCTCGAAGACTTAGATGAGTGCTGTTGTTTCAAGACACGTATACAGGGGCCCAATGCGGCTATACGTTCCACCTCACCGGGTCAACATGGTCAACCTGTAAACTTTAACCTCAGACATTCACGAGATTCTTTAGCTAGTTCTTGAGATCTTGTGCTTGCAGGCACAGTGTGCAGTCCCAAGGCAGAAATTCTACCGCTCCACTAGATCCTATTTGATAGTCGTGTGTGTAGGGTTCCATTGAGTGATTCAGTAAGGACCTAATGGAAAAGAATAGTGGAACTTATCATTGGCTTCTTGTAACCTCCACTTACCCGTCTACTGACTGCAGTTTGGGTGCAGTGAAAGATGAAATCCACCGAAAACCACCAACTCTACTATCAAATGTCAAACAGTCAGATGAGTTTATCGTTGCTAGTGGGAGTCATGTACAAGTAGCAAGACTAGACAAGACAAGAGACCATTAAAGTGGCATTTCCGAAATTCCAAACAAGAGAACGGATAATGAACAGACAATCACACATTTCTTGTCACACCGAATTTCAGACAATAACAGGTATCATCTCAGTCGCATCCACCAGCCTCAAATCAATCATAACCACAAACTATGTCGACACCAGTTATCACTCAAAAGGGTCAGTAAAACGTAGCCATCATTGTTACAGCAAATACATGAACAGTGATCACGCGTTAGTTTCAGTACGCCTATGCCTTCATCTAAATGGATGTAGGGAAACTACGACCACGAAAAGTTCCAAAAGCCACTCAATTACATACATATCTAGGAAACGGCTGGAGACAGCTATCAGGACAAAACAATGTCACCCATCTTAAAGAAGCCTGTTACTATCTGAAGTCTGCTATAGTAGCAGCGGTAAAGACCACCACAAGGAAAGGTTAGATAGAGACAATGAATCTCACTTGCTTCTTCCAAATTGACTAATGGACGCGAACACACTCCCATTGGCTTTAAACCTAATGATGTGCGAAAGTAGGCGCAATATAAGCTTACAAATAGTTTAAGCAGTGTCAAGTAGTAAAAACTAAGATGAGATCAGCAGCAATAGGTAGCAGTAGACAGCTGTTTGAACTAGGATGGAAAATTCGATTGTTAGTGAAATTATGCGGGGAAGAATATGCTTTAGACTTACCCGCATAGGAAGCAATGAGAACGATGACAAGTTCACCGGACTTCCAGTCGCTTTTTGGTTGGCCACTATTTAGCCATATCTTGACTGCAACATAAAGATAAGGCATTTAATCTCTTGACTGACTGACAAAAACAACATACACATACCGGATTGTCTTTTATTCCTCTCTGTCAGCGAGTTTCTACTAATTTTTATCTTTATCTTCCTCATTTTCTTACGTTTAGTCTAGATGCTTTCTGCTTTAATATGATAGTGTGAGTAGTGATTACTTGGACAGTTACATAGTAACAGCATATCCAATGTCGGTATTTTCTGACTACTTCGATTTCAGAAGTTCAGTATTACAGCACCAGGTTTTATGCAAGTAAAATGTTTGGGGCACAGTCACAATAAGATTGGAACTATTGGTATTATTCCACGCTTATGGAGATTTAGGTCTATAATTATCATTCTTGGGAACTTGTACTTCGAGGTGAAATGCCAACATCTAGATGGCCCAGTATTACCACAACCTACGAACACGTCATAGGAAATTGTGCAATGAAAACTTAAAACTATCCGCTTATCTCTTGCTAACACTCAAGACAATCACACTACTACGGGTACTTTGTTTAATTATTTGGTTTTATCTACACACCTGAAATTGATTTTATTTTCACTTATTCCAACACACAAACATTTCTCCATGTTTTAGCGCTTTCATATCCTTTCCGGTCACCAAGCCGCTGGCTTTTGGAAAGTTGTCTTTTGTATCTCTGCTCAGAGACTTCGTAGTACTTACACTCATCGTTGCAGAAGTTGGAGTTATGCCGCTCCTAAAGCAGCCTGAAGCCTCACTGACTATGACGCTTAGAAGAACCAAAGGTCTGATAATAAAAACTCAAGTCAAGAGAGCAATTAGAACATTCACAAATCGCGACACAAATAAATAACATTATTTCAGAATCAATTATTTTTATAACCACAACTTATGTGTCAACAATAAGTAAACTTACATATTTTCTAAGACGGGGTAAGCATCAAATGTCTGGCACCGTTCGTCTTTATATAGTGTGGCTAAAAGTCTAGCACGTTGTTGACTCGCTCCAGAGAGCAAAGCAGCTGCCAATGCACGTTCCAGAAAGTCTAAGCGCTCTGAGTCATCTAAGCAAGGGAATCGTATAGACAGCTCAGCATAACGGTGACCAGCTTCGATAAATTTTTGTTTCAAATCTAGTAAAAGAGCATATGCTTTCTGAAAAGTTTTAGAAATAAATCATGAAGAAAAAACGATTTAGTATCAGAAAAAAATTCTTTTGCGGAATCTTATCCAGAATGCACTTTTTTAACGATAAACTTACTAATTTCTCATTTTTTGCTTTCACCTAATTGCCTCCCTTTAAAAAGTGAGAACTTAAACCAAAGTGCAACTGTTACTAAGTTCTACAGTGTTTTACCAATCAAACTATTCGCCTATTAAATGATGCAAAGGGATAGACGAAATAAACGCACAGGAAACCCTTGTATTGTGCTTGAATACAAAGTCTAACACTTAAGTTACATCTCTTACTACAATGATCAAGTTCGCACTTAGCTAGGTTATAACGATCATTTTGAGAACATGGCTACCGGACTAATTGACAGACATATACTACATATAAACAAACAGTAAGCATTAAAATCTGTTTCATGCAAGAATCTGAGGTCGCATCAGTGTTATCCCATCAATCATCTTGAAATCATCAACAGTGACTGAATAAATTACCAGTAAACAGGTACTCCTTTTATCGACGCTGTTTATCAAGCTTGTATCAATCATTTCAGTTGCCAGATTAGCTAAAGCCGAACTTTGTGACAACACAGGAATATATATTACTAAGTGTTTTTAAAAATCAAATAACGCTTTACCTTATAACGGATCAACAGTTGTTGATTCTGGCATTCTAGTTGCAATAAAGACGCACGATTAACAAAAATCTCAGCTTCATGAATCTGATGAGTTTTCAAACAGTATTCAGCTATTCGCATATAGATATCTAGTTTATAATCACTCCGTAGACCCTGTTCATAAAAGTAAAATAACCATAGAAAAAAACATTAAGTACTCTACTAAACAGCAATTGTGAATATGTACCTCGAATAAAATATATCATAAAAGAACTAATGTGACTACCTCCGTATATGCGGTGAGATGACCAAAGTATTTGGTAAGGATGACGAAAATTGTGTCTAAACCCTAGTGTACCCCCATAATACATCGAAGAAACAAAACACCCACTATGTGCATGGACTCGATTGGAAACGCTAACGTCTCTTCGTATCTGATTATCAGCAGCCCTCGTAGTGCTACTCAAAATCGGTTACAATAAAATGTAAATAAGGTTGTTAAAGTACGTGGAAAACAATGTATGATAATTCCTATGAATAACTTCATAACTACATTACGCGCTCAGTTGTATGCAGTTTCAGTGAGATACAATACGCAAGTGATGAGAACAATCACCAACTATTCAGTAAACACAGCTCAAAAGGTAAAAATAAAAACAGACACGGTATTTGAATGCAAAGCTAGTGGTCATATTATTGTAAAAATGTATATACTGTGATGATTAGAAAATCATACGAAATTACTTTAAAGGAAAATCAGTAGCATTACGTAATTCACTGCCCATATGAAATCGCTATTTAAAGAAAGAAGCACTAAGTAACGAATCGATACCGAAGGTGTCTTTAAACATCATTTCACCAATCTCATACGGAAGCTTACTAATGATAGCAGCTCTGATAAACGTAAAACGATCCAGACCATTAGATTTTGAATTCACCATTGATTCCTTGTTTAACTTAATTATTCCTGAAGATATGCACGCCATTCTTGCAACTCTGCATAAGCTTAAAACGTCACCCTATAAACTCTTAGACACTGTCTTATTCATATGAATTCCAAGTTTTGTTTCACAGCCATTCTATTTTCAGGCAGCCAATATGAAAGCAATATACTTACTGCTGAACCTCAGATATCAATGTCTACTGACTTAGAGACTCTTACAGCTTAAAAGCAAGACAGACTGCAAAATATAGAATCACCTTTAGCAAAGCAAAAACATAATATAAAGTGTTTCCTCTTCACCGTTTTTTTGTTTGAGTAAATTCCCGAAGATTGCCGTCTGGAGGTGATGAGTGTCAGTGTCTGACAACTTTCTAGAATCCTTGATAAACTGATATTTCCTAAGCAGTCGGTGGGGAATACAGTTTTATTAGTCATTCCAGTAACAAAAGCAACCTTTGGACCTATTATCACATAAAACACATATTTCTTTTTGAATAAAATCGAATTTCTGCGAGTAACTGAGTAGCGATACTTACTTCGTCACTTTAATTAGCTATCACTGAGGTGCAATTTTGAGGTATAATAGACACTCTACAATAACCTCGCCTGGTTAACTAGTTCACTAGTTACTGGCCGGTCCTAAACCCGGGTAAAGAGCGAAGGTTGGGCATAGGGCTAGCAACACTACCCCGGAAAACCAATCCAACCGCTACAGAAACTTCAAAGCACAAACAAAATATAAAAAACAAAAACAAAATTATTCCTCGCCGGAATCGGAGAGGCGAAAGGACGCCGGTTGGTGAAAGCCTTCAGGAAGCCCATTGGCCGATGTGTCTTCTCTTCTCTCGATGAAAGCAAAAGTAAACGTTGGGACATGGAATGCCCGCACCATTTATGGACATAGCAAAGCTACCCAGATTGCAAAAGAGATGAGAAGGTATAGCATAGAATTGCTAGGAATCTGCGAAAGCTGGTGGAATGCAAGTGGACTCTCCATACTGTCAACTGAAGAATAAATAATCTACTCCGATACTGTCACCCAGACGACAACCACGAGCACAGCACACTGAGTTTTGGAGTGGCTATCATAATGTTCCCAACAGCATCGAAGGCTCTCTCTCATGCAGTGGGAACTAGTCTCCTCCTGCAGCATCAGGATCATGACAGCAAAGTTCAACTCAAAAGGAAGGAAAGTCACAATCATACAATGCTACGCTACGCACCTACAAATAATGCAGATAAAGAGAAGAAGGAGGAATTCTACAGAAAACTGCAATCAACACTAGACAAGACCCCATCCCAGTTGGCGATATCAAAATTCTAATGGGACAAACTGGGAGCGGACAACACAGGAAGAGAACTAACCATCGGTCGAGAAGCGCTCCGTGAGGTGATGAACGAGAATGGAGAACTGTTTGCAGAATCCTGTGCATTCAACGATTTGGTGATTGGAGATACTGTGTTAAAGCACAAGGATATCCACAAAGCAACATGGATTTGACCAGACACCAGGACACAATAAAAATCACATCGACTTTATCTCAATCTCAAGAAAGTGGAGATGCACCCAGCCTGCTTGACACAAGGTCAAGAAGAGGAGCAGATGTAGGTTCACGCCACTCACTATCTAGTACAAGGAACCTTCCAAATCAAGTTGAAAGCCATCAAAGAAGTCGGTGATAGACAACCACAGTTCAAGTTCAACACCCAGAACAGAAACTGAAGGACGAAACTACAAAGGAAATCTTCACGGCAGCCATCAAGGCAAAATGGGAGATATCGAGCAACATCCCTGAAGAAACCTGTGTGGATGAGCACTGGAACTCTTTGAAAGCTATGTGGAAGGAAACCTGCATAACCGTATCAGGAAGGAAGAAGAGGCGCCAAGACAAGGAATGGATCTCGACGGACACATGGAAGCTGATAGAGGAGGGAGAGGAGGATGGTGAAGCAGAAGATGAACCAGTGCAAGGATGCACAACGAGAAGAGGAACTGAGTACAATGTATAAAACACTGGATAAAGAAATGAAGAAGAGTGCGCGCAAAGACAAAAGACACTTCTTTGACACACTGGCAAGTGAAGCAGAACAGGCTGCTGGTAAGAGAGACCTGACAACATTGTATCAAATAACCAGGTTACTATCCGGGAGAGAAGAGATCATCGCAGACGAAACCAATGAAAGATAGTGAAGGAAATCTAAGTACCAAAGAGGAGAAACAAAGGAAACGATGGGCTGACCACTTCAAGAAGCTCTTGAATAGATCACCACCTGCACTTCGTCCAGAAATACCACTTGCAGCCACAGAACTACAAGTGAACATAAATCCTCCAACAAAGTCGAAGTTCTGAGCGCCATAAAGCTACTGAAATGCGGTAAAGCAGTAGGACCAGATGGAATCCATCCAGAGGCACTGAGAGCAGACGCAGCGACAACATTGGACATGCACACACCACACCACTATTGCAGAAGTTTTGGAAGGAAGGGAAGGTAACTGCCGGTTGATTGGAAGAAGGGTTACCTTGTCAAACTCCCAAAGAAGGGAGACCCAAGTCTTTGCAACAACTGGCGCGGAGTCATGCTCCTGTCCATCCAAAGCAAGCAAATTATTATGCCGCATCATCTTGGAGAGACTAAAGGATGCACTGGATTCAAAACTACGACCGGAACAGGTTGGATTTACGAAGTACAAATCATGTGCGGACCAATTGCGGCGCGTCGCATTATCATAGAACAGAGTATACAATGGCAGTTAACTCTTGACCGCATCTCAACTTCATCGACTTGAAAAGGCCTTTGACAGCGTCGACCGGGAAGTAATTTGGTAGGTAGTTGCTTCAACACTACAAAATATCACAGACCTTTATCAACCTCATTCAACAACTATATGAAAACACCACATGCCAAGCAATTCACAATGGGAAGCTCAGTGGTGCTTTTGAAGTGAAGATAGGAGTAAAACGAGGCTGTCTACTATCACCCATGATATTCCTGATTGTGGTCGACTGGATCATGCAGCAAACAGTGGGGAGCGAGAAAAGAGGATACGCTAGACCGTGGAAAAGAACCTAGATTTGGATTCCACCGATGACTTATGTCTGATGTCACACAAACTTGAAGATCTACAGGTGAAAACTAACAAGTTGATAGAAGAGGCGAGGCAGCGAAGACGGGACTTCAAGTGAATGTAGAGAAGACAGAGGTGAAGATGATATCCAATCAACAACAACAAGCTCCACTCACCATCGACGGGAGAAACTTGAAGGAAGTAGCCTCTTTCACCTATCTAGGAAGCACTGTTTCAACTACAGGCGGGACAGACGAGGATGTCAAAGTCAGCCAGGATCGGAAAAGCAAGACAGGCGTTCATTAGCCTGAAACCAGTGTGGAGATCTTCTGCACTCAGCATAAAGCGTGAACAAGATCCACATTTTCAACACCAACGTGAGTCAAGTCAGTGCTTCTGTATGGTTCAGAGACTTGGCGCATTACGAAAGGGATTTCCAACAAACTACACACATTCATCAAGAACTGCCTACGCTGGCTCGTTACTGAAGATCAAATGGATGGCCAGAAATAATAAGCAACAAGTAACTCTGGTCGGGTAACAAACCAACCAAGAGGCTATCGCTCAATAAATATGCAGAAGGGAGTGGAGATGGATTAGGCATACACTGAGAAGGCCGACTGGGGACATCATGCGTCAGGCCAGGTCGTCGAGTGGAACCCAGATGGGAAGCTACGAGTTGGGCGTCCGAGGGTGATATGGAGATGGTGTGAGGAGGAAATGAGAGCTTGTGGGTTGTCGTGGAGCCAGGTTGAAAAGATTTCAGAGAACAGAGTGCACTGGAGACATGCTACTGAAGCCCTATGTTCCATCAGGAATCCAAGGGACAAATAATAATAATAATATAAGACGCTCTACAATAGAGAAGTAGATGGAGTCTCTAGCGTTGTAGTTGACCCAACTCATTTACAAAACCTACAGCATAATATCTGAGATCGTCAGTGGCTTACTGATCAAACACGAAGACCTAATTTTCAACCATGTACTAAAAGGATTTTGAATTTCAGTTCAGATGATCACCTTGACTGCTCTTCCCAAGCTGTTGATCAGTAAGCGACTGACGATCTCCGGTGTTATGCTATAGGTTTTGTAAATGAGTTGGGGTATGCGTATGAGCAGTAATTTATGCCAGAAACATCAAGCAGAAAATGCTGTATTAACGTGTGCGATATCGAATAAACAAGTCAAATATGGAGTTTCATCCTGCCGAAGTTTTACACTTATATTAGTGAAGCATTGAGAAATTTTGAGCTTTAAAATTAGTAGAACCATGAGATCCTATGATCATAAGCAATAATGACACGGACTTCATTCGCTTGACAACTTCAGCGGAGATGAACGAAGATAAATATGGAGTAATATACCTGCATTCCAACAACCACAAACAGATCTATGAATAATGCTCTTTGTAAGAGATAATATGAGGGCAACCTGTTTGTCCTAACTTTCGTAAACAGACCGGGCTTGGAACCAGCGATTTAGTGGTCATAAATCATAATAGCATGGTTAAGGGCGATGACTATCAACCATTGGGTTATCCCGCTTCACCTACAAAGGTTTGGCCAGCCAGGTAGTCTCACCAGCCTTCACACAATGTGTGGTTAACTGTCTACTGCACAGATAAGCCCAAGGTGGTTGAATGCGTTTCCGCGATTTGCATCCTTATTTGTTTAATTAACAATACATAAACAGTCAAAACAAAACTCTGTTGCTTTTCAAGGAACAAAAATGTCAAAACTATTTACGCTACATAGAGCTACCAACACGTAAATAACCGAACTGGTTATTGAGTTTAATCGAAAAAAAGAAAGTTATGGTGAAACTTTGAGTGGTTACAAGTTTCCTTGCAATAAAATTTAGGAAGAAAAAACCCTTAAATGCTTGCAATTTCATTTCACCTATACACGCTATATAAAAGGCGACAAGCTCTATAGAGGAATAAAAGCCAAACCAAGAGAAATAAGAATATATGGTAACCTATTACGTGATATTCAATCAAAAATCTTAAAAGCATTCAGTTTCTTACCGTTGTCCACTTTCTAATGGAATTTCGGCTAACACATTTGCCGCTTCACGAAGATTTCCAACGGCCTCCAGTCGCTTAGCAAGGGAGTCACGTAACTCAACCAACTGCAATTTCTTCAAAATCCTATATATAATGATCTACTTGAGATTCAAAGGCGATGTTTCTTAACTGCATTCGAGAAAGTATAGTTTGGAACGCACTGATTGCAAAAGAATCATCAGTGAATTCATTAACAAAGCCTATAAGTTCATCGCAAAACCTTTTGCATATCAGAACTGGTAACACATCCTGGGAAACTTCAAAAATATAAGTTGAAAATGCGACTACTTGTATTAGCAATTGTAGTTATGTCCGATAATAAATTATCCGGAGATTGACGGAGAGATTTGAGTACATTTGAAAATCTAAAACGTAAAATATTTTTCACAACAAACTTTTCAGTAGCTTCTTTTAATGATTTACATGCACCAATTCCAATAAGAACAGAACTCAGTTCCTCAGTCATATTTAAGTTCTAAAACCTGTAGCACAACAGAATAAAAGATGAGATGTGAACAAAATTTCGAAGAATCTTACGTAAAGCAGTAGTGATGACAAAAAGTACAATACCAAGAACTAAGTAAAAAGTGACCACAATATTCACTATCACAGATTCGTCAGCATATCATCATCATTATCAACATAGGACCAGGCATTACTGCGTAACGGTCCGAGTTGCCACACCTCATATCAGCACATCAAGTAAAAAGGTAGTGAGGTGAAGGATGAAGATAAGTGAATGCAGTCAAAAGAAATATAAAGTACGAGAAGAAAGGAAAGAGGAGTGACAAAATAGTGAGATTCGGTATAGCGTTGTTAAGATGAGGATAATGTGTGTATACATCTGCGCCACTGACTTCGGTTCTGAGCCATATCACCTAGGGTCTCCAACCACTGGTTCCTCTTGTCCCGTGGACCCCAACCACCTAGTCTGCATCGTCCTACATGGCTTAAACCAACAGTCAGAGACTTCATACATTGGTGCCATGTTTTAGTCTGGCCACCTCGGGCCTTTTTCCAGCCTGAACCCACCTCAGCCAACATTGTGTGACGAGGCAATCGGTGACTAGGCATACGTAGTACGTGTCCCAACCATCTCAGTCGATGAAGGTTCACAACCTCGTCGACTGACTTACCTCTTCTCCCTAAAACTCTACACCTAACTTCTGCATTACTCACATGGTGACACCACGGAATACGTCCTATACTACGAAGGCAACGGTGGTCAAACACCTGAAACCTTTTCATGTCTTCCACTTTCAATGGCCATGTTTCACAGCCATACAGTAGAACAGAGCGGACTGCTGTGCAGTACACGCGACCCTTAATAGACAAACGAATATCACGGCGGCGCCATAGGTGGCGCAAATTGGCAAAAGCCAATCGAGCCTTTTGTATCCGTGCAGAAATCTCATCGGCAACTAACCCACCGGGTTGATCCTACTTCCCAGGTAAGTGAAGTGGTCAACACACTCAACCACTTCACTCTCTATTGTTAACCGCGGTACCGCTGAAGACCAGTCCTGGAGCAAAAATTTGCATTTGGGTGGTGAAAATCGCATCCCAAACATTCTCAAATTCCCACTCAAAGTGTTCAGAAGACTCTGCATCTTGTCAGCGTCTTCAGGACTATGTCATCTGCATATTCTAGATCTAAGGAAAATTCACCTGTGATCAGGTCAACGTCTGTGTAATTAGGTGACGAGAGGGAAACCTCCATAAGAATATCTATGATAAAATTAAATAAGAATGGGGATAGTGGGCATCCTTGACGGACACCACTTGATGAGTATAGCTCCCTGGACAACTCACCATAGGCTCTAACATGCCCACAAGTGTTCGAGTAGAGAGCTTTCAATAAGGTGATGTACTTACTAGGCACGCCTTTCAGTGACAGACATTGCCATAAGACTTCTCGATCAACGGAGTCAAATGCCGCCTTCAGGTCGAGAAATACAGCTATTGTCGGGCGTCTGTAAGCATGCCTATGTTCCAGGACCTGGCGCAGTGTGAATATTTGGTCGATACATCCACGGCCAGGTCTAAAGCCTGCCTGGTTTTCTCGGGCTTGCTGTTCCCGAGCTCCACTCAGGCGTCGGAGAATTATAGAACTTAGGATCTTAGACACTATGTTCGTCAGGCTGATTCCTCTGTGGTTATCACAAGAGGACTTCTCGCCTTTCTTGAAGACTGGGATGATGAGTGACTTAGACCAGTCGGAGGGGATCGTATTTGATTCCCATATACTGGTTAACCTGACTAAGAGCAAGCACCCTTACCATTATCCTTGCATACCTCAGGAGTTATTCTGTCTGGTCCTGCTGTCCTTATCGTTTCGGGTTACCTACCGCTTTCTTGACTTCTGCAAGTGTTGGAGGGCCTATCTCAATGTTCCATTCAAAATCCGACTGGATAGGGGGCAACGCAATGGTGGTTGGAGGCCAGTTAAACTGTTCCTCAAAGTGTTCTGCCCATCGTCCCAGTCGTCTCCCCTGCGAGTGAATCGCAGATCCGTCCTTCTCCGCTATAACCTCACTAACTGTTGTTGACCATTTCCCCCCAGTCTCCTTAATAAGTCTAAATAACTGTCTACTGTTACCGATCGCCGCTGCCTTTTCCATCTCTTTAGCCTTTGCTGCCCACCACTGTTCACGATCGTTGCGCAGACTTTTCGTCAGTTATTTTTAAGTTGCGCTCGCTCTTCATTGTACTCAGAGCCTGCAGGGATGCATTCACGTGCATCCATTAGTTTGGAAGAAGCTGCTCACTGGCTCTTTTTAGCCATTATCTTGGAGTCGGCTACAGTCTCCAGTGCTGCTTTTACAGTAGACTGAAGATGGCACCAAGCTTCTTCTGGATGAGTGACAGTCTTTTGTTCCGATAACTGCCTAGCCAACTTCTCACTGAACACGGCTTTGGTGTTTTCGTTGTCCAGCAGAACTCGTAGTGGTTTTGTTGCCAAATTTTTTCTACGTCCATTGAGACGCAGGCATATACGTGCTCGGACCAACGCATGATCGCTGTCCAAACACGTACTCCAGAAGGAGCGGCAGTCTTCCACCGATCCTCTCCAGCGATGACTAATCTATCTGTGTCCATCGCTGAGTCGAGCTCGGTGGACGCCAGGTCAGACAGTGCCTTTCTTTATGTCTGAAATTTGTGCTGGCTAAAAATAGGCGGTTATCTGAGCATAGTTGTAATAGGCGATCACCGTTATCTGTACGTTCAGCTGGGATTCCGAAAGTGCCACCTAAGTGCCTTTCTGCCTCACTCAGTCTACCCACCTGTGCGTTGAGGTCACCTGCAACAACCACTACGTCCGAACGTTTGGCTTTCGAGAGGAGGTTAGACAGTTTATGGTAGAACTCGTCCTTCACTTCATCCGAACTACAGTCAGTGGGTGCGTAAGCAGAGATTACAAAGAGACAACGGCGAGTCTCACTATTCCTTTTAGTTCTCACTGTGCCGTTCAGCCTCATAGCGCAGAGGCGACTATCAACTGGGATCCAGTCTAGTAGTGAGTTTTCTGCCCTGGTGCTTAATGCTATACCTACACCTGCAAGACCACGAGAGCTAGCTATCGAATCTCCAGAAACTCGAAGGGTGAATTTTGCAGATTCACCAGATTGGTCAGGAGAGGTCAGGTGAATAACCACACTTGGGTCCTGTATGCGTGTCTCACAAACACAGCACACATCCATGCCCGAGTTGCTAGAGTCTTTGCCAACGAAGCCTGTTGGCCAATTTGACGGAGGGTGCGGACATTGAAGGCTCCAATATGTAATTTGGAGCGTGGTTTAAGGAGACCAGGGATGCTGTTCTGTGGACTCAGATCGTTGTCGAAGGCTGCAGAGGTAGGAGAAATTGAAGATGATGCAGCATCATTAATTAAGAGACGTGAAGGAAGATTAGAAGGTAATGATGGAGGAGGAGGATAGCAGTCAGAAGAAACTTGGGTGCTGACAGAGTTGTGAGGGCGGTTGACACTTCCCGGCTGCCCACACCGTGGAAGGCTATTTCTTCTTAAGGTACCTGAAAGAGATTTGTGTGACCGCAGAGCCCATCGGAAGCCTGTCACACCCAGCCTTTTGAGTATGATTATTTTGAACTTTTGTATTTTTGGGGCCGGATGGTCGAAAGGAAACGACAAGTGAACCAACACCGCCGGCCCGGCAGACCGTGGGGCGTGGTGGAGTGTTATTTTTGGGGCCGACCTTTTCTAACCCCCCCTTCCACTGAGAAGGCAGCATCAGCATGGCACTGCTGGTCATCCAAGGGAAACACCTTACTGCTGTCACACCCCATCCAGCTAGCAGCAGTACGACTTCGCCCTCAGACCCCCATCATAGTGTAGCAATTTACATTCGTCAGCATAAGTAAAAATGTCTTAGCATTTACTGCCAAAATATTCAGTACGGCTGATGTTCTCTAACAGCTGTTGGAGACAACCCCATCTAATTTAGCTAGCCATCAAGATAACTGGTACCCCTGAAGGCAATAAGTGCAGAAACAAGAAACTTAAACACTCAAATAAAACTCAATTTTGGTGCATCCAAAGAAGTTTCAAGATGATCTCCATCACTTGGATAATAATAATAATGATACGTAGTCTAAACAGCTTCAAAAACTTTGTATACTGTTGACGCCCGAAACTTCGATCATCTGAGATAAAACTTCATGAATTGTGTTAAAGTTCACCAATGCAGCTAGCGCCGAGCAAATCAACCTGGAGCATTACACAAAAGTGTATCACTTTTAACTGCTACAACTCAGGATAACGCTGAAGCAGAGAATAAACACCGAATAAATAAAAAATTGGATGACAAGACATAAAAATATAAAAGCTGGAATACCATTCCCAGATCTGAAAACTGAAGGGAATGAATACGCTTGAGCAACTATTAGTGAAATTCGAATAATTCACATAGTATCGCAACATTAAATCCTAATATTCTGAAGCTTAGTCACAGAATCCCATCCGATACACTGATCAATTTCCTCGTTTTTCTTTCGCACGGACAGACAATACTAACAAACAAACTGGGATTACTGGGTACTGGTTCAGTTTGCCACCCCTTACGTCAGCACACCAAGCGAGAATGCACCAAGATGAAAGAGAGAAGAAACAAAGAAAGCGGTCAAAGTGGCACAAAGTCATCAGAAGATAGCAAGAAGGAATGACAGAATACTGAAATCTACTATGAAGACTGGGATGAAGATAAGGTATGGATACAACTGAGCCAATTATATGGATTCTACACCATGTCACTCAATGTCTGCAACCACTGGTTTTTGCTATCCTGAGGACCCTGACTAGAAATTCTACATTCTCCCACACGACTCAGACATCCAAAGATTTTAGGGACTGTCATGTTTTAGTCTGCTCAACTAACTTTTTTCGAGTCTAAACCTACTCCATCCAACATTGTGAGACGAGACAGACGGTGACTAAACACGAGTAACAAG